TGCCCTAATCAGCCAGCTGTGTGTTCTGATTAACGTGTGTCCCAGTGCCCTTCCTGGTATGTCATAGGGTTGGCCTCTTGACCGGCACATACTGAGGGGGGAAGCAGCTAGGCAGACAGAGGGTCCCCTGGGCGGCATGGACTGTAGCCCACAGGGGCCCTCCTTGGCTTTGATCCTGTGGATGGCTAAGGACGTCAAATGGGACAAGCCCAGAACAGCAGTTGAGCCCCTGGAGTGACTGCCGGGTGGTCAGGTGAGTATTGGGGATGTATGTATGTGTGTGTGTGGGGGGGGGGAGGGGGCATCCTGGTCAGATGACACAGAGGACTGCTGTTCCCACCTGCTTGCACCCATCCATGGATGTGCTGATTGCATGCTGAGCCCTCATGGGTGCCCAGAACCTCAACCCCAATACACGCACACGCACATACACAAGCACACACACGTGTTCTCTGCTGGCCATCTTCTATCATCAAAAAGACTCTGAGGCTGTGACTTCGCCTGAAGAGCCTTCACTTTGCCATCACTCCAGCCTGGAGGCCTGGCCAGTGTTGTCCCTGGAAGTTAGACTCTCCTAGGAGGTTTTTTATAGCCAGGGCAGGCACTTTTAACATCAGACTTGCCCTGACTGGTGTGGCTCAGTTGGTTGGGCATTGTCCAGTGCATCAGAAGGTTGCTGGTTCAATTCCCAGTCATGGCATATGCCTGGGTTACCGGCTTGATCCCTGGTAGGGAGCGTGCAGGAGGCAGCAGATCCATGTTCTGCTCTCACATCGATGTTTCTCTCTCTATCTCTCCCTCTCCCTTCCTCTCTGAAAATCAATTTTAAAAAATCTTTTAAAAAACCAACAACAAAGAGCAAACTTAAAATAAAAGTAAATTTTTCCAGGCTAAGACTAAAAAAGCTACATATTATATGATGGATGCCACTTATGGGACATGCTGGAAACAAAGGTAGGGAGAGAAACTTGACTGTGCTGGGGGGACAGGGGTGGCTAATGGTGCTCTGTGTTCTGCTGCACAAATTTGCCAGAACCCATGGGCTCACTCGAGAGATGGTGACTCCTACTGTTGGTACATTAGACCTCAGTTAACAAATTATACACACACACACACACACACACTCACTCTAGAGGCCCGGTGCATGAATTCGTGCACGGGTGAGGTTCCTTGGCCTGGCCAGTGATCGGGGCCCATCGGGGCTGCCTAGCCCAGTCCACATCAGGCCAACCAGGGTGGCAGGTAGGGGGGAGGGACCATGGGAGGTTGGCTGTGGGAGTGCACTGACCACCAGGGGGCAGCTCCTGCATTGAGCATCTGCCCTCTGGTGGTCAGTGCGTGTCATAGCGACCAGTCGGTTGTTAGGTCGAATGGTCATAATGGTCGCTTAGGCTTATATATATATATAGATATATATGTGTGTGTATGTATACGTATATAATTTAAAAAGTGGAGGCTATAAAAAGGTTTTTAGTGGGAGAGATTAAAACTATAATTACAGGCTATGTAGAAAACAATGACATGGAAACAATGACATGGAGAGAATACCCAGAGAAGATTGGCCTAAGAGAGGAGGCCAATGCTGTATAATCTTCAGTGTTTTCATTTACCAAGACATAATGGTCAGTTTTTCAAACTGAGTATTCAGATCAAGATGATGGAAAGAAAGATTGAAAAAGAAGGAAGAGTGAAGATAAAAGCAGAATTTATGAAGTGGGAGAAAAGGGGAAAGCAGGACTGATTGCTAACTCATTCTTATGACTGTCTCCTGTCCCTCTGCATGTTTTTCTGGCATCCCTGAGCTTCTTCCTCCAGCCCGGTATTCTGTATTCATAGCCTTCATCCTTCTCATCTCCCTTTACCAGGCACACTGAGAGCTCACGTGAACCAGGCTGCATTTTTCTGGTTTGAATATTTTAAAGAAGCAATTAGATATTTCACAATGTTCTCTCTTGCAGATGGATAGCGATAATCAGAGGCCACCCCGCCAGGACAAGTAGAGGGTTCTGTGGTACCCAGAGGCATTCACCAAGAACCTCCCAGGTTAGCTGATGCAACCACTACCTATGTGGGGCCATTCATCCAGGCCAAGGTTGTGTGGCCAAGGGTTTGTGTGCAACTCCAATGTCTTTGGATTTTACAATGGCCACAGAGAGATGAGGTGGGAAGAGAGCCTGTTTCATCAAGGGTATGGCTGGACCAAGTACGTTTGGGCATTTTGAAGGGAAAGCTGGACTTATACACTGTCCTACGGCAGGCCCGAAACAGAGAAGGCTTGGGGAAAAGAGCTGAGTGTGGGAATTGCCCTCGGCAGCTCCATTCCAGGTCTCCCAGGTCAGGTGTGTCCACAGCTGCCTCTGGGCCTTAAAGGTGGCTGCTGGCTTCTGATGGCTAATGATGGCCACTAGGGCCAGCGAGGAGAGGGCAGCAGAGCAGGAGCACTCATCCCAGGCCATTGACCAGCACAATGCTTCATGGGAAGACAATAGGACTGGTCCCATTCCAGTTCAGACCATCGCTCTATCAAGCATGGTATTTCATATTGCCTTGGAATTTCTAGAAAACTCCAAAACAAGAAAAAAATGGGAAAAAGAAAACAGAAGAGATAAAAACAATGAAGAAAGACAAAGCTATCATTTTTTATATGTTAAATGATTCCTTTGCAAAATACCAAGTTGAACTTAAAAAGGCAATTGAATAATAGTATTTAGAATTATGTGAGCTGGCAGGTTGCAAAAGAAATACACAAAAGCCAGTAATGGTTTGTTTTTGTTCTTACATATCAGCATAGTTGCAAGATCCATTACAATAGTAAAAAATGTGAGTTAACTTAATAAAAAAGACATTCAGGACCTAATGAAGGATTCAACACCATAAGGATGTCAATTCTCAGCAAATTTACTTATAGACTAGAAGCCCGGTGCACGAATTCATGCACGGGTGGGGTCCCTCGACCTGGCTGGAGATCAGGGCCAATCGGGGCTGGCCAGCTGTGGGGAGGGACTGCAGGAGTTTGGCCGGCCGAGTGAGGTTGGCTGGGGGAGTGCACTGACCACCAGGGGGCAGTTCCTGCATAGAGTGTCTGGCCCCTGGTGGTCAGTGCACATCATAGCGACCGGTTGACCGGTAGTTCAGTTGTTCAGTCTTCGGTTGCTTAGGCTTTTATATATATAGATTGGACACCATTTCAATCAAAACATAAATGTATTTGGGGGAAATTTCCCAAGTGATTTAGATGTTCATCTTGGGCAAATAAAATAAAATAAAATCATTGCTCAAGAACAGCCTAGAAAATATTAAAGAATGGCCCAGCCGGCATGGCTTAGTGGTTGAACATCAACCTATGAACCAGAAGGTCACGGTTCAATCTCTGGTCAGGCACATGCCCAGATTGCCAGCTCGACCCCCCAGTGTGGGGTGTGCAGGAGGAGCTGATCAATGATTCTCTCTCATCATTGATGTTTCTCTCTCTCCCTCTCCCTTCCTCTCTGAAATCAATAAAAATATATTTTAAAAAAGAAAATATTGAATAATGGGTAGCTGAGAGGCAGGGCTGCTGTGCCCATTTGTCATAGGCAGAGATCTGCAAAGTGGAAAGAGGGGCTCCTGAGCACCCAAAAGAGCCCAAAAGGTTGTGCAGGAAGGAGGTGGGTGTGGCCAGGTGTTCTATAGGTGTAAGAACTTGGACCCTGGTCCTCTCCTCTTCCAATGAACGGAGGTGGGGGACATAATGAGAGGGTGGGTGCAAGAAGGACTCCTCATCCTCCAGACCCCTGGATCTTTTCTCTTGTGTTTGTTGTGCCCTTAATACCTGACCTCTCATTCTTCCTTATTAACAGAGCAGCCCCCCCCCCAAACATTAGTGTGGGCACATTTCCCAGGCTTCTTCACAGGCAGGTGTGGTCATATGACTAAGTTCTGGCTAATGGGTCAAGCAAAGATGCTGTATGCGACTTCTGGGTTGGGTCCTGGGAAGAGAGCTAATTGCCTTCCCCTGTTTTCTCTCTCCACTACTGGAATTCAAATGTGACAGGTGGGCCAGGAGCAGCCATCATAAACCATAAGGTGAGTGAACTGAAGCCACACACAGCTGACCACTGCCCTCCTGTAAGTCATCGCTCAGCTGTCATCTCCTCTGAACACCCCTTTCACAATTTCACCCCTCCCAGATCTCTTCTTGTTTGCTTCTTAATCAGAGCTCTGATCGCCGCCGCCACTCTAGAATGTATGCTTCAGGGATTTCTGCCTTCTTGTGTCAGCCACAGGGCCTGGGATAGCCAGGCACTAATAAATATTTGTTGAATGAGTAAATGTGCAAACCACGCTGCATACTGTAAAGTGCGAAGTGAATAAATGTGCAGTGGTGACAATAGTATGGTAATATGAAGCCCTGGCGGTGCCTGTATTGTAGGAGCCCATGAACAGAGTGGCTGATTCTCACCCAGGTTTCCTTGTCCATTGGTTCCCACCCCTCCGGACCCCCAGTCTCACCTCACCCTCCCTGCTCTCCACTCTCCTGCGCATACCTCTCCCAGACTCCAGGGACTGACGCCCCCGCCCCCGCCCCCTCACACCTGGATCATTAGTACCTGCTCTCAGTGGGCGTGGTCAGTGGTCCCAGGCGGGCGTCCAGGTGCTGGGGGTGATGGCCTCCCGGAACCAGACATCTCCGGCGTCCCATTGCCTGTCCCTCTCCTGGACCAGGCCCTGGCTCGCTGACCCTTGACGCCTGGGATGGGATGGGATGGGGTCTCCAAGATCTTGCAGAGCGACCCCCGAGGTTGTGTTGCTCGCAAGGGACAGGACTGGTTTCAAGTTAAGATTTTACCCGGTGCCCCGGCCCCCCGGCGACGCTCCCGGCTCCTCCCGCGGAGCCTGAACCCGCAGAGTCCATCGACGGCCTCTCGGGCCGGCTGCGCCCCGCCCCCACCTCCGCCCTGCCCCTGCCCGCCCCGCCCCTGCCCGCCCGCCCCCACCTCTGCTCCGCCCCCCGCCCCGCTCCGCCCCCACCTGCCTTCCCCGGTACAGGCCCGGCTCTGGTTCCGCAGCCTTCCCGGCGCCCGGGGACCGGAGGCCACCATGTCCCAGCGTTTCGTGGTGACCCCCGCGGGGGGCGGAGTGGAGAATCCCGACCCCGCAGCTGCCCCGGAGTCGCCGCGGGTGGACGCGCTGCCCATTCTGCACTACGGACGTGAGCCGAGCCGCTACGGTAGGTGCGGCCCGACGGGGACTCCCCTGGGGGCGCGGGCGTCGGAGCGTCGCGGGAGGGGGGCCAGTGGCTTAGGTGGGTGAGCTGCCCGGGTGCCGCCCTTGGGGATGACCAAGTGCCGCCCCGGGGTCAGCGCCGGGTGAGCCGGTGCGGTGCGTCCACAGCGTTCTCCCGGGAGACTTGGACAGCAGCCGACCTCCGCCGGCGGTCTGCCCTGCCTCTGGGCCTGGAGGGAGATGCGAGGGCTTGTCCTTGGGAATTGGCGGTGACAGTTCCCGCCCTCTGACCTCGTGCTCCTGGAGCGCAGAGCGTTGTGTGTGGGATATGTGTGGGTGCGGCTTGCACCCAGCAAGGCAATGCTCTGCTGGGCTCCTGTCGGGTGATGCAGCCCAGGGTCAGTGAGCCTCCCTGCAGGGCTGTGCTTTTATAAGGAGTACAGCCCTCAGTCAGTCGCTTGGAGCGTGTCCTTTCCCCCAGTGACCTCACCCGCCTTTAATGACTTTCACATCTAACGTCTACTTTCCTGTACCTTCCCTTTTGAGAACTGACTTCAAGGGATTGAGAAGTGTTGGCAGCCACACTGGTGACCCCTGCCTTGTCCCTGTGTGAGGGGATGTGCAGACAGTGTCTCTCCTGGGCACTCACATAGGTGGGCGCCCACAGCCCTGGGCATGGAGGGTGGGGATGTGGGAGGGCAGGCAGAGCCTGGTTGCCTGGCAGCGAGAGCAGAAGCAGGGTCTGACTGAATCTGAAAGGCTGCTGGAGCCCTGCCCCTCCACTGCAGTCTCTCCATGTGGGTGAGGATTGGCTAATGGGTCCCCCATCCGATCCTGGGGCACACTGCCTTGGGCTCTCACTACAGGACCTTGGCCGTTCCAGGACTGATGTCGATCCTCAGATCCTGCAGCTTCTCCCATGCCCAGTAGTCCCCGAAGGTCAGCTAAGGGGAGGCAGCTCTTTAGGTAGAAGGGCCTCCTGTCCGTCCCACCCCCAGGGGAAACTCAGTGCATGTGAGTGTCCTGTGTGTGCACGGAATGAGAGAGGGTAGCTCTAAGTGTGAGGGCTGACAGAAGCTCAGGTTTTATTTTTTTAAATATGTTTTTATTGATTTCAGAGAGGAAGGGAGAGGGAGAGAGAGAGAAACATCAATGATGAGGGAAAATCATTGATCAGCTGCCTCCTACACACCCCCTACTGGGGACCGAGCCCACAACCCAGGCAGTGCCCTGACTGGGAATTGAACCATGACCTCCTGGTTCATAGGTCGACCCTCAACCACTGAGCCATGCTGGCTGAGCTGGCACAGAGGTTTTAGATGCGTGTCCAGCAGATCTTCCATTGAGTTACTGGGAAGTTCCATTAGCTTCATGGTGACATCTGAGTGGTGCCTCCCCACGTGAGCAGTGGGCTTTCTGCGATGCGGGTGTGGGTGCGGTATGCATGCACATATGCGTGTGGGTATATGTGTTGCAGACACCCGCTCATCCAATTCTACTCTGAGTTCTAGGTCAGGTGTGGATAGGTAGACAAGACACTTGTCACCTTGGTAGTGGCTGGTTCTCAGGTCCTACTCCCTTCCTGTCACCCTCCAACCCTGAGAGCCATTCCTTATGCTCCAGGCTGGGTGTGTGGCACCTGCTGTGCACCTGTGGTATCAGCCCCAAAGTAGAGGGGACCCTCTCCATTGGGCCCTCAGGTGGAGGGTGCTCTCTAGTGGGGGGCTGAGGTGTCACTTGCTCCTGCTTACCCAATAACGCAGTCCTTTTGTTTTCTGCTGTGAGCAGGTAAGTCCACAGGTCATTGATTAGAATGTAAGTCAGAGCAACTGATTATTTCTCAGGGACTGTGTGGGCCTCCAGCCTGTTCTGTGGGAAATGGCTTTGATGTAGGACTCAGTGGAAATTTCAGGGAGAGTGTAGGTAAGAAAATGAACCGTGTCCGAGAGCCGGCAGGTGAAGGCTTCCTGACTATAGTCAGCAGCAGTGAGATGAGCTGTTGCTTCTGGGCAGTGGAGCTGGGTCCGTACTCCCTCCCCGGGGGACCCTCGGGGTGCTGGTCCAGGTTCTGCACTGAACCTGGCCTGGGCTTGCTCAGCCCCAGGCTCTCCTCACAGGAACTGGGGTCCCTGTGGCCTTGGTCTCACCTCTGGGCTGGAAGATGGACACCGCCCAGCATGGGGCTGTTCTCTGAGCCAGTAGGGCTCAGCACCATAGGCAGGGGCACAGCTCTGGGTCAGCTGACCCTCCAGGTCCGCCTCTCGCCGCATCCCCCCTTTGGGCCTCTCTGCTTCCCTGGCCCTTGGTACTTAGCGTGCTGGCCGGTGCCCCTGCGGAAAGGGTTCGGTGCCAGGAGACATGCTCAGGTCTCGACTTGTCTTTCTGTTCTCTGTCAGGCTGTTGAGATTTTCATCTTCATGCTGACACGGAAGAAGTGCATTTACCAGAGTCCTCGATGTGGCAACCAAGAGATAGGCTGTTGGGGCCAGGGGATCCCGTCTGACCCTAGAATTCCCCCACACCCACCTTCACCTCTTGTGGCCTGCTGTCCAGGGGGCAGGCCTCCCTTAATCCCTCCCACCATCACCCAGGCAGGGAGGGGCCACCCCAGCCATCCCCCACCTCAGTCCTCAGGTGTGGAAACTGCTGAGCCTGCAGCCACTTTCTGCTCCACTGCTTGGCTGGCTAGTTTTTGCCCATAGACCTTGGGCTCTGTGGTGCGGGAGTTCTAGCCAGCAGTCAACCAAATGATTTTATGTTGTGCCCACTATATTGAGAAAAAAATCCCTATTGTTTGGTGCTCCATTTAAACAATGCAACCGGGCTTTATTGGCACTCCTTGGTCCAAGCCAGGAAGTGGAGCGTGGTGGACACTTAACCCAGAATTGTCCTTTCACTTCCAGTGTGTGTGTGTGTGTGTGTGTGTGTGTGTGTGTGTGTGTGTGTGGCGGGGGAGTGGGGGAAGGGGGGTGATGGAAGGGAACTTCTAATCCTTCGCGACACCAGCCTCTTGACTCACAGGCTCCCAATGCCTCGTCCGTGTCTGTCTGGTGCCTCTTTCAGTGTCTGCTCAGACCAGTTCCCCTCAAGTGCAGTGTGTGGAGAGAGCACGCTGCCATGGGGTCTCCCTTCTCTGGGTCAGGACACAAGTCCAGCTCTGAGTCCCAATCCCTGTGTCTCCGGCTCAGCCAGCATTTCCTGAGGGCTCCTGCTGGAGTCACAGCACACACTGGTCACAACAGTGTGCCACTAGCATGTAAGGGGATGACTCCCTGCCCCCCACCCTCCCCTGCATGGCTGCAGGAGGGGAGACGTAGTGTGTAAGGGAAGGTCTGGCCGTGCTGCCATGGGGTGGGAATGTCACACGTGATCTACCAGGTTCCAGTGAGCGAGGCTGAACCATCGCTGTCCTCTTGTTCCCAGTACAGGGGTGCTGGTGGGAGCCCCAATGCAGTTCTTTTGGTGGAATGGTCAGAGGTGGTTGCAGATCCAGAATCAAGACATGAGATGGACATGCCCCCTCAGCCTGAGGGCAGAGGAAGAGGAGAGGGTCCCGCCTGTGCAGAGGCCGCCTAGCGGACAGTGACATTCAGGGAGGGTCAAAGCCAGCTCTAGGCCACGTGGAGCAACGGATACCCCCCCACCCCCAGGGCCATACCTTGGAGAGCAGCTTGGCTCCCCAGGGGCTGGACTCCCCTAGACCACCTCCTTGTTTCTGTAGCCTGGGGTGGGCTGCACCTGCGTAGAAGGTTCTGGATGTGAGTAGGGCAGTGAAGCGGCTTGTCACCTCCCCAGGGGCTGTGTGGGAGGAGAGCATCCCCCTGGGCTGATAGGGACAACAGGAGGCCATTGGCATTGGAGGATCAGTCGGACAGCTGTCCATCTGGGCAGGGAGCAGCAGCCAAGGGACCTGGTCTGGTCAGGCACCACAGCTGCGGGCGTCGGGGGAGGAAGGGAGGGAGCGTGTGGAGCAGGCACATAGACGGGGTGGAGTGAGGGGCTGGAGGACATGCTGGCTCCCCAGTCACCCTGTGTGACAGACCCTCTACCTGTCCATGGACCTCAGCACAGCCCACCCCTCCCCCGTCCCAGACGATGCATCTGTGCTTCGTGCATTCGTCATCGTGGTCATTAATGGTGTTGGTCGTAGGATTTTGCTTGAAGAAAGTTTTGGGGAAAAGCCCCATTTTTCTGGCTGAATGTGTTGTTTTTTGTCAGGACCCAGGCTGCTGTAGTTCCTTCTTGGCCGACTGACACACAGGGCTGGCTGGCGGCTCTGGTGTCGACCCCACCCCCGCCCCGTGTGCTGGGCAGACTCTGTTTCCTTTCCCTTAAATATTTTATGGAGCATGGCGCATGCTAATCTGCTAGCCGCCTCCGGAGCAGTGCTTCTGTCCAGGACACCCAAGGGTTTGGTCACTCTAATCCTGAAGGATTCTTGCCTTGGTGATTTCTAACTTGGCTTTAAAAAGCACACGCTTAAAGTCACAGCCATTGTTTCTTTTTTTTTCTTTTCTTACTTTTTAATGTCCAGTTTGGTTTCTTTTTAAAAAATATATATTTTTATTGATTTCAGAGAGGAAGGGAGAGGGAGAGAGACATAGAAACATCAATGATGGGAGAGAACCATTGATTGGCTGCCTCCTGCACACCCCCTACTGGGGATCGAGCCTGCAACCCGGGCATGTGCCCTTGACCGGAATTGAACCTGGGACCCGTCAGTCCACAGACCAACGCTCTATTCACTGAGCCAAACTGGCTAAGACCAGTTTGGTTTCTTTTTCCATGGGATGAGTGTCATGCGTTTTGAGGCACCAACCTTCTTTATATATACATCAAAATTTTCTTTAAATAAAAGCTTTACAATCCAATAAGAGAATCACAGCTTGGTCTCAAAGAGTGTGAGTCGGGGTCTGCACAGGGGGGTTGAGGTCTCTGGGCAGAGCTACCTGGGGTCCCCCAGTCCTCACTGCCCATCCCTGCAGTGGTCATTTCACATGGGTA